GGTGTCCTGTAGGGCCCAGTGGCTCAGCCTCCCCAGTTACCTGGGGTGGACACTCTTGGTGCACTCTTGGTGCCTTGGTTGTTGTAGGATCACTGGGAGGAATTGACCTCCAGGCCAATTGGCTGTGAGAATCAGCTGTGTCTGCAGTGGGAGAACTTCTGTGCTGAAGACACCCCTCTGGGGCAAGACTTCAGTGGGGCTTTGGTGCTCACTGAGTCTGCTCCCTGAGTGTGTCCCTTATGGATCTGAGGAATTGCAATCTGGATGGTCCCCTTCTGACCACTGGGTACAGTGGCTCCTGGATCTAAGGAGGTGCTAATTCAGCCTCTGCCTGAGGCCACACAGCAGGAGCCACAAAGAGGCTCAGCTGTGAAGCAATGCAAGCTGCTGCGGGGCCTTGGGCCTTCTCTTGGAAGTTCCGGGTCTGCCTGGTTTGGCTGCAGTTAGGTACATTCACATGCAAAAGCCTCTGCCGCAGCCTGGGTGGGGCGGGGTCTCAGGGAGTCAAAGGGCGGAGAAGCAGCTATGGCCGATTCTCCGCCCGGAGTCGCGCGTCTCAGTGTCCCGGTAGCGGCTGCAAGCACCTCTGAGGGAAAGCCGCACTCAAGTTCGCCCGCTGCCCGAGAGTCCAGCTTCTCCCCGTATGAGTCCTGGGTCCCCAGAGACTTCCCAGAACTGGAGTTCAGAGCAGTCGGGAGCTTGTGATTCAAAAAAAACAGCCGTGTCCTCAGGTGCCACCCCCTTTCTCCCCGCGCGCGCGAGCCGCCGTACCTCTGCACTTCACCTCCGCAGCGCCTCTCAGTGTGCTTTTCTTTCCTTCTAGTTGTAGAATTTACACTCAGCCAGCCTTCCTGTTGTTCTGGGTGATGTCCACTCTGTCCTTTAGGGTATTTTTCAATTGTTGTGGGAGGCGGCAATTTCCCGGTGTTTATCTATGCCGCCATCTTAGTTTCTCTCAAAACAGTGTCTTTCTAATAAAGGGGTTAATAAAGGAAATGGCAGAGCTCCCAAACAACATGGACTATGCCCTAAATGTAAAAAAGGAAAACATTGGGCAAATGAATGTAGATCTAAAACAGATATCCAGGGAAATTCTTTGCCTCGACACCAGTCGGGAAACTATCAAAAGGGGCCAGCCCAGCCCCGACAAATAACAGGAGCATTATCTCCTGTCCCTGTGCTGTCTCAAGGCCAGCAGGCTACACAGCACCCAGCCCGTGCCAGAGAACAAAATAGAAACAAGAGCTATTCCGAGCAACCCCCAGAAGTACCGGGCTGGACCTTGGATCCATAGGAATAAGACATTCTGTCTGTCCTGGGTGCTGCCCTTGCCTACTGAAATAAACAAAATATCATTAGATTTAAAACCTCCCACACAGAGAAGAAATAATGATTTCCTTGCATTTCCGATACAGCTACAGCAAATGCCATGGGATCTGAAATTTAAAAATGCGTCTGGGATTTCTATGCACGTGTAAAGAGAAAAACTGGCTTGGAACTAATGTGCGCATCATCCGATTTTGGACATTTAGATAGAGTTTTGAGCTAAAATCTCTTTACAAATATACAAAATAAAACCCAAGAGTGATTATGGCAAATTTGACCCAAAGGAAAAAAGATGCTGGCTAGATTCTGGCAGCAGGATTGGCATTTCCATAATAAAGAACAGTTTTTAAATGCCAAAGAAGAATGTTAAAAAGTTAACTTCAAGGCCAAAAAGAAAATTCAGTAAAATTGTCTCTGTTACAAGAATTTACTAAAGAATACGCCTTAGTAGAACTAAAAGACGGAACGGACATCATCCAGAACCACAGGAAGGCTGGCTGAGTGGAAGTTCTACAACTAGGAGGAAAGAGAAAAGCATACCAAGGCTCAGAGGAGGCGCAGTGCTGAAGTAAAATACTAAGGTGCGGAGTGCATGTGGAGCAGGCTGGCGGCTGAGGGCGCGGTTGTCATTTTCAATCGGGAGGGAGTCTCAGGCTCTGAGCTCCAGTTCCGGGCGAGTCTCTAGGGATCCAGACTCATATGGGAGAAGCGAGACTGTCTGGCATCGGTTGGAACTTGAGGGCAGCTTTCTCTTCGAGGGGCTTGCAGCGATTACTGGGACACTGAGAAGCAGAGCCTCTGAGGGCAAGACTGAGAGCAGCCATAATTGCTAACCCCACCCTGTTGATCACGTGGGACCCGCACTTCCCAAGCCCTGCAGGGAGACTTTTGCTGGATAGCCTCAGGCAAAGGCTGGAGTAGCACCTCCCTAGAGATCCAGGAGCCAGGAAGCCCAGAGGTCAGAGTTGGACCATCCAGTTTGCAGCTCCATGGAACTATAAAAGACACACTCAGGGGGCAGACTCAGTGAGCAACAAAGCCCCATCTAAGCAAGTCTAGCGCCAGAGGGGTGTCTCCAGCACAGAAGTTCTCCCACTGCAGACACAGCTGATTCTCACAGCCAATTGGCCTGGAGGTCAATTCCTCACAGTGATGACTACAACAATCAAGGCTTAACTACAACAAGACTGTGCACAAAGCCCACAAGGGGGTGCACCAAGAGTGTCTACCTCAGGTAATTGGGACACTTAGCACAGAAAGGCACTCTATCAACACAGTGAAGCATAAAAAATGCCGAGACAAAGAAACAGGCACAAACGACAGAATTGGAGGAAAGCAAACTGTTGGATATAGAGTTCAAAACCACACTTTTAAGGACTTTAAAGAACTGTCTAGAAGCCACCGATAAGTTTAATAAGGCCCTCGAAAAGACTGGTGAGACCGCCGATAAATGTAGTGAGATCCTCAAGAAATCTAATGAGACCCTCGATGTTGTGATAAAGAACCAACTAGAAATTAAGCATACACTGACTGAAATAAAGAACATTATACAGACTCCCAACAGCAGACCAGAGGGTCGCAAGAATCAAGTCACAGATTTGAAATACAAAGAAGCAAAAAACACCCAACCGGAAAAGCAAAATGAAAAAAGAGTCCAAAAATACGAAGATAGTGAAAGGAGCCTCTGGGATAGCTTCAAGCGTACCAACATCCAAATTATAGGGGTGCCAGAAGAAGAGAGAGCAAGATATTGAAAACCTGTTTGAAGAAATAATGACAGAAAACTTCCCCTACCTGGTCAAAGAAATAGACTTACAAGTCCAGGAAGCGCAGAGAACCCCAAACAAAAGGAATCCAAAGAGGACCACACCAAGACACATCATAATTAAAATGCCAAGAGCAAAAATCAAAGAGAGAATCTTAAAAGCAGCAGGCGAAAGAAAGTCAGTTACTTACAAGGGAATACCCATACAACTGTCAGCTGATTTCTCCATCACATGCCCATCTCCATCACCTGTAAGTGGCAGGGAAGAGGCAAGAGAACATCTTATCTTCCTCTCCCTTTTCCTTTCCTCTCCCTAAAATAAACAAACAATAAAACTAATTATTCAAATATTTTTTAAAATATATTTTATTGATTTTTTACAGAGAGGAGGGGAGAGGGATAGAGAGTTAGAAACATCGATATGCTGCCTCCTGCACACCCCATACTTGGGATGTGCCCGCAACCAAGGTACATGCCCTTGACCAGAATCGAACCTGGGACCCTTCAGTCCGCAGGCCGACACTCTATCCACTGAGTCAAACCGGTCAGGGCTATTCAAATATTTTTTAAAAGAATCTCTGTTTAGTATTCTTAAAATTGTTAAATCAATTTTTTCCTCACCTGGTATATTGGTTACAGATAATCATATTTCATGTATGACAGTTTCACAGTTTTATCCTTATGTCAAAGCTCACCAAGTAGTACACATTAGAAAAGTGCACTTTTTTGCATGTCAATTCTCATTTCCTGGGCAGAAAGCCTTGTCTCAGTGGCAGCAAATACTGGCAAGCAGTGAAGACTATTGCCATCAGAATCAACAGGAATTCTGACTGGCTACCAAAGACACATTTTTAGGCTGATTACAGGATTATCCTTTCCCTATCTTTTAGGTCTTGACTGATGAGCAAATTTTGAGGTGAACAAACTAGAAAGGCCAGGGGAATAAAAGAAACCTGTTATATTATTTTTTTTCTGCCAATGACTTCAGCCACAGGAAACAGGTATGGAGGTCCTGAGAAATGTACACAAAGGTCACACAAGCCACAGACCTTTGATCATTTGTGGAAAATGTTCAGAAGAGGCACTTTTCATCTAAGTCACTGTAGTCTTTCCCATTCACTATGAATACAGTGTTTCTGTCCTAATGTTGGTTCCATCTAAAAACCAGAGTCCTACAACAAATGACACCAGCATATGAAATTTCATATGTCACGGCACATGGCACCTTTACAGTATGTGGGGAGGATTTCCCCTAACATTACTGAGAATGAGGTAATACATACTGTGATAGAGAATATAATTCACATTGTTCACGGAACGATAGCAAAGGCCTTCTCTTCATGAAAAACATTGACCTCACCAATAAATGAGGCACCAGACTGCAAATTAGAACCAGAAAGTACTAGTCTTTCTTTTAAGACCTTGGGCAGCAATACAAAATAAGCCAACATTTGACAAAGAGAAATGTTCTGTTATCATGCTGTGCCTTCCAAAGCACAGAAAGTTTAGGAGCCACCATATTTGTTTACCCTACATGCTGAGAGATCGCAAGTGTTTCCATTTATCTCAGGGTGTGAATAGAACCAACAAAACTAATGGTACAAAAGAAAAAACACCTTTACAAAAAGATCATAAACCAGAGCAAAGGACAGCAAGAGGTTTGCAAGTTAGTGAACTGGAATCTGAAACAATTCATCACAGGATGTGAGAAGCACAATGTCCCTGACAGAGGTAGCACTTCTTAGCTAAGGACAGGTGCCTTGGACGAAACCTGGGTAAGATCAATTCTCTAGTCATAGAGAAAGGAATGAAGATCCAGCTAGGAGCTCAGAGTATTCATAATTTTCTCAAGCACAACTTCTGAACAAGGAGGGGTTGTGAATGCTGCATACTCTTCAGGTGAGCCAGGTGGTAGAGGTGAAATAGCTTTTGCACAAATACTCGCAGTGACATCAATAGGCTTGTGGGCCAAAGTAGGTTAGCAAGTGCAATGCAGCTCCTTAAAGCCCCACTTGTTCCTGAAACTTATGAGGAATCTGGCAGAGTGTATGTTCTGACAAAAAGGTTTCTATATTTAGGTAAATGGGTCTAAAACCTTCTCCTTAGGTGTTGTTATGCTGAGTCAGAAAGATAAAATACTCCCTTCCCATTTAAAGCTTTTCTCCTGTGTGAACTCTATGGTGTTTAATGAGGTTAGAGCTATCATGGAAGTACTTCCCACAATCACTATACTCCTAAGGCTTTTCTCCAGTGTGAACTCTGTGGTGCTGAATTAGGGTAACTTTTTCTCTAAAGAACATCCCACAATCACTACACTGATACGGCTTTTCTCCCATATGATTACTATGGTGTTGAGTACTGGTGAGGATTGTCACTCAAAGAGAAGACTTTCACACATGAATCTCTAAAGAATGCTTTCTGTACAACAAATGCTGCTTCTAACTAAGTCGGGTGCAGGGTATATTATACCACAGAGAAACAACACTTACACAGAAGGGCTTTCTGGCTTGCTGGAGCTGTGTTAGAAGCCCTGACCTGTGACTGTCCTTCCACAGATACACTCTACACAGAAGTTGCCACCTTATCTTCCATTTTCTGACAAAAACCTAAAAACACAGAATGATAAGGAAATGAATGTTGACTGTGGTCCCATGGGGATGATCTGATACAAACATCTATTCTACAAAATACACTGTTTCCATGCCATTGTCTGAAAGTAAGCAGTGTACAGGAAAGATTAATAAGAGGTTCCAGTGCCCCAGGTCCAAGGCTAGAACAGATGTAGACAGTCCCAGGACACCACTATTTCAGAGGTCATAATATCAGGATTGAAGTGTGGTTAGGGGCACTCAGGCAGGAAGGCGCGCATTTTAAGGGCATCAGGCAGGCAGGCAGAGGGTTTAGGGGCGATCACGCAGGCAAGCAGGCAGGCAGGCAATCAGTTAGGAGCCAGCAGTCCCGGATTGCAATAGGGATGCTCAACTGCCAGTTTAGGCCCAATTGGATCTTACTGGCAGTTGGACGTCCCCAGAGGGGTCCTGGATTGTGAAAGGGTGCAGGCCGGGCTGAGGGACCTGCTCCCTCCCTACTGCCCTGTACACAGATTTCGTAAACTGGGCCTCTAGTAAAATATAATCATTTGCTACTGAAATATATCCTTGTTCAGTGCCATCATTTTGGCAGTTTGAAACTAACCACAATGAGGGTATTTATATGGAAATTAACAAAGACTATGAACTTAGAATTCACTTAATGTATTTTTAAATGCTTAGACTTATAGAAGAATGGTGGAGAATGTTAACCATGCATATAAAACCTGTAAGTATAAGGTACATGTGGGCTTAAATTGTACATAGAATAAAAATTGAGAAAATCAGTTTTCCTTACAGTATTAAAAACCTATAGTTGCACGGCATGGATGGAACTGGAGAGCATTATGCTATGTGAAATAAGCCAGTTAATGAAGGAAAAATACCACATGATCTCACTCATTCATGGATAATAAAGACCATTATAAACTTATGAACAAAAATAGATACAGAGGCAGAGCTGCCTCAAACAGATTGTCAAACTGCAGCGGGAAGGCCGGGGAGAGTAGGGGGGCAGAAGACAGGGGTAAGAGATCAACCGAAGGACTTATATGCATGCATACAAGCATAACCAATGGACATAAGACACTGGGGGGTAGGGGAGGCCAGGGGATTGTCAAGGGCGGGGGGAAAAAAGGAGACATATGTAATACCCTTTGTAATACTTTAAGCAATAACACAATTAAAAAAAAAGAACAACAAAAAACCCTATAGTTGCATACAGGAAAGAAGTCAGTTGAGTTATAGAGGAATGAGTGAAATTCAAATATATATCTCAGACTGTGAAGTGTCCTCATATAGGTTAAAATAATAAGTTATTTTAAAAAAGGCAAAAATCCTGAGCCAACATTTTAACAAAGGAGATAAAGACAATATAAAAAAATCTTCAGCCCTGACCGGTGTGGCTCAGTGGATAGAGCGTCAGCCTGTGGACTCAAGGGTCCCGGGTTCGATTCCGGTCAAGGGCATGTACCTTGGTTGCAGGCGTATCCCTAGTGCGGAGTGTGCAGGAGGCAGCTGATCGATGTTTCTCTCTCATCGATGTTTCTAACTCTCTATCCCTCTCCCTTCCTCTCTGTAAAAAATCATTAAAAAAAATGTTCACCATCAAAAATTCTTATGGAATAGAATTAAAACGAAAGCAATTTCACATATAGGCAATTTCAGGCCTACCATTTAAAAGGATTAACCACCAAATGCAATGGCAGGGTTAAAAAAAACTGGAATTTTTATATACTGTTCCTGGGTGGGAAAGCAAAGTGCATGACCATTTTAGATCACAGTTCTGCAAATGTTAAAATGTGAAATATTAACCTAGATTGCAAACGTTTGACTAGTAAAAGATCTATTAAATAACGGAACACAAATATTCCAAACAGATTTATTTATAATACTCCAAATCTGGAAATAACCAATTTTATAGAGAGCTCAATATATAAAGTTGTTATCAATAGAACACAATACTCAGCAATAAAACAAATTCAATATTCACATAATAAATTTGTATTGGATCTCAAAATATCTGTGGCATTAAGGAAAGCAGTATTTGTAAAAAAAGTATACACCTTATAGTGCAAAAAAATTATAAAAAATATGAACTAATCTAATGTAAAGGATGGAAAATTAATGATTGCATGGAAGACTGGGAAAGTCAGAAAGAGGGATTATAAAAGGGCAGGAGGAAAATGTAGAGTGTGGAAAATGTAGGGTTAGAGTTGTTGGTATAGAAAATAATACATAAAAATACCGGAATAAACTCTGCTTTCACCGTGTACCTCAGCTGGGTGGGTATCATCCAGTGCACTGAAACGTCAATTTCAGTGTTGTGATTCTGAGTAAGAAAAAGGAAACATTCCCTAATCATTTAAAGCTTTTCTCCACTGTGAAGTCTCAGGTGTCTTATAAGGTTACATTTTTTGGGTAAATGATTTCCCACAATCTGTACACTCATAAGGCTTTTTTCCAGTGTGAATTTTCTGATGTTGAATGAGGGTGGAACTCTTACTGAAGCATTTCTCACAATCTGTACATTCATATGGCTTTTCTCCAGTGTGAACTCGCTGGTGCTTATTGACATCAGACCTATATCTGAAAGATTTTCTACAATCACTGCACACATAAGGCTTTTCTCTAGTGTGAATTCTCTGATGGCGAATGAGGGTAGAACTCTCACGGAAGGACTTTCCACAATCTGTACACTCATAAGGCTTTTCTCCAGTGTGAACTCGCTGGTGTTTATTGACATTAAACTTACTTCTGAAGGACTTCCCACAATCACTACACTTATAAGGCTTTTTCTCCAGTGTGAATTCTCTGATGTTGAATGAGGGTGGAACTGTTACTGAAGGACTTCCCACAATCTGTACACTCATATGGCTTTTCTCCAGTGTGAACTCTCTTATGTTGAATGAGGTTAAAGATTCGTCTGAAAACTTTCCTACATTTGTCACACTCATAAATCAGTTCTCCAGAACATTCACCATTTAGAATCAACAACTTTCTGGTTGTGACTGGCAGCTATTTCACATTCACCCCACTGGTGATGACTTTTTCCACTGAGATATTCCTGTGAAACCTCACTGCCACAGTGTGGCTCCTCATTGTTCTGAGGGGCCTGGGGCTGGAGAAGCTCTGAGGGAGCTTGGATGTCTTCCCCTAACTCTCTGCTGTTTGAAGGCACCTCTGATAAGAAGAAGCTGCACCTGGTCACAAATGAGGGCCTGTCCATAGCTACTTTCCAGGATATCTCTCCACTGGCATCCCTCTCCTGCTGATGAGGGCTTGCACTGGAACAGAATTCTCTCACACATGCATCACTGAAGAAGTGTTTGTGCTGAAAGTACTCTGCTTGGGACTCAGTCAGGTGCAAAATATCTTTTAACACTGAGAAACACCACTTACAGGAATGCGACTTCTGGGTTGCTGGAGCTGTCTTAGAAGCCCTGACTTGTGACTCTCCTTGTATAGATACACTCTCATCAGAACAGGCCTCCTCCTCATCCTTTTTATGCCAACAACCTGAAAACAGAAAAAAGGTGAGGAAATGAATGAAGACTGCAGTGACAGGGGGAAGTTCCATTACAAAGTATGTTGCCCATGACACCTGGGCTCCATGCAATTTTCAGAAGAGATGTGCAGGAAGCACCAATAAGAGGCTTCTGTGAAGTTCTGGGCCTCTGCAGATCATAAAAGAAGGAAGACTATGCCAGGAATATGACACAAAGATGGCAAACACCACATGGAATAGAGGTAAGACTTCCAGCCCTTCCTTACGCTAACAGTGTTTAGTAGGGCTTGTCTGCAGGTGACATAGGCAAGCTCTGCAGAATTTTGCTTATGTCTTATTCCAAGAAAAATTCAATAAATGAGTAGCTGGTGTTTGAAACCTGCTTAAGCATGTATGTGCACTTCATAACACATGTGTAAGTCAGTGTTAAAGAATACTGGAGGCAGGAATGCAGAGGAACAGGTGATATAGAAATGCCACAAAGGTTAACATAGCCGAAGCCAGGAGTCACAGGTGAAATGACATGTCAGACAGAGTAAAGTAGGTAAAAGATAAGGTAGAAATGTGGTGTAGCCAGTGGCACTTGCATCTGAACACTGATGGGAAAGAGCTGGTTCCTGGTATGAAGGAGGGTCTTACAAGAACAGCCCATGGTGAGGGAAACCAAGATGGCGGCATAGGTTAACACCGGAGTTTGCTGCCTCGAACAACCACTTCAAAAAACAACTAAAAGACGGAACGGACATCATCCAGAACCACAGGAAGGCTGGCTGAGTGGAAATTCTACAACTAGGAGGAAAGAGAATATCATACCCAGACTCAGAGGAGGCACAGTGCTGAAGTGAAATACTAAGGTGCGGAGTGTGCACGGAGCGAGCAGGCGGCGGAGGGCGCGGTTGTTGTTTTCAATCGGGAGGGAGTTTCAGACTCTGAGCTCCAGATCCGGGCGAGTCTCTAGGGACCCAGACTCAAACGGGAGAAGCGGGACTGTCTGGCTTCAGTCGGAACTCGAAGGGAGCTTTCTCTCCGAGGTTTGCAGTGGTTGCTGGAACTCTGTGAGGCAGAGCCCCAAGGGAAGGAACTGAGAGCAGCCATAACTGCTTGCTCCTCCCGCCCTGTAGATCCCCAGGGACCCGCCCCGCCTAAGCCCTGCACAGAGCCATTTGTCAGATAGCCTCAGACAAATGCTAGATTAGCACTGCCCTAGATATCCAGCACAGAAGCTCTCCCACTGCAGACAGAGCAGACTCTCATAGCCAGTTAGCCTGGAGGTCAAATCACCCCCGGTATTGCCGACAACAATCAAGGCTTAACTACAACAAGACTGTGCACAAAGACCACTAGGCGGTGCACCAAGAAAGCATAAAAAATGCGGAGACAAAGAAACAGGACAAAATTGTCCATGGAGGATATAGAGTTCAGAACCACACTTTTAAGGTCTCTCAAAAACTGTCTAGAAGCCGCCAATAAATGTAGTGAGATCCTCAAGAAATCTAATGAGACCCTCGATGTTGTGATAAAGAACCAACTAGAAATTAAGCATACACCGACTGAAATAAAGAATATTATACAGACTCCCAACAGCAGACCAGAGGAGTGCAAGAATCAAGTCAAAGATTTGAAATGCGAAGAAGCAAAAAACACCCAACTGGAAAAGCAAAATGAAAAAAGAATCCGAAAATACAAAGATAGTGTAAGGAGCCTCTGGGACAGCTTCAAGCGTACCAACATCAGAATTATAGGGGTGCCAGAAGATGAGAGAGAGCAAGATATTGAAAACCTATTTGAAGAAATAATGACAGAAAACTGCCCCTACTTGGTGAAAGAAATAGACTTACATGTCCAGGAAGCGCAGAGAACCCCAAACAAAAGGAATCCAAAGAGGACCACACCAAGACACATCATAATTAAAATGCCAAGAGCAAAAGACAAAGAGAGAATCTTAAAAGCAGCAAGAGAAAGAAACTCAGTTACCTACAAGGGAATACCCATATGACTGTCAGCTGATTTCTCAATAGAAACTTTGCAGGCAAGAAGGGAATGGTAAGAAATATTCAAAGTGATGAATACCAAGAACCTACAACCAAGATCACTTTATCCAGCAAAGCTATCATTCAGAACTGAGATCAGATAAAGAGCTTCACAGACAAGGAAAAGCTAAAGGAGTTCATCACCACCAAACCAGTATTATATGAAATGCTGAAAGGTATCCTTTAAGAAGAGGAAGAATCACCACCAAGCCAGCAATGCAAGGAATGCTAAAGGGACTGGTATAAAAATAAGAAATAAAAAGCTCAGAAAGAAAACAGCCACACAAAAACAGAAATGGCTACAAACAAGTACCTTTCAATAATAACTTTAAACGTAAACGGACTAAATGCTCCAAACAAAAGACATCGAGTGGCTGAATGGATAAAAAAACGTGACCCATACATCTGCTGTCTACAAGAAACCCACCTCATTAGAAGGGACTCACACAGACTGAAAGTGAAAGGATGGAAAAATATCTTTCAGGCAAATGGAAAGGAAAAGAAAGCTGGGGTAGCAATACTTATATCGGACAAAATAGACCTCAAAGTGAAGGCCATAACAAGAGATAAGGAAGGCCACTTCATAATACTAAAGGGATCAATACAACAAGAAGACATAACCCTGGTGAACATATATGCACCCAATGCAGGAGCACCCAAATTCATAAAAAAACTCCTGGAAGATATCAAAGGAGAGATTGACAACAATACAATCATAGTAGGGGACTTTAATACACCACTGACAACACTGGATAAGCCCTCTAGACAAACAATCAGCAAAGATACAGCAATCCTAAATGACTCACTAGATCAGATGGACTTAATAGACATCTTCAGAACACTTCACCCCAAAGCCAGGGAATATACATTCTATTCAAATGCTCATAAGACATATTCAAAAATAGACCATATATTGGGTCACAAGCAAAGTATCCCCAAATTCAAGAAGATTGAAATCATAAAAAGCGTCTTCGCAGACCACGATGGCATAATATTAGAAATAAACTACAATAAAAACAACCCAAAAATACTCAAACACCTGGAAGCTGAATAGCATGCTATTAAATATTGATTGGGTTACCAATGAAATCAAAGAAGAAATTCGAAACATCCTGGAAACTAATGACAATGAAAACACAACAATCCAAAACCTATGGGACACAATGAAAGCAGTCCTGAGAGGGAAGTTTATAGCTCTACAGGCCTATCTCAAAAAACAAGAAAAAATGGTAGTAAATCATCTAACTCTACAACTCAAAGAATTAGAAAGAGAGCAACAAGAAAACCCCAGAGTGAGCAGAAAGAAGGAGATAAAAAAGATTAGAGCAGAAATAAATGACATAGAGACCAAAAAAACAATACAGAAAATCAATGAAACCAAGAGCTGGTTCTTTGAAAGGATAAACAAGATTGACAAACCTCTAGCCAGACTCACCAAGAAGCAAAGAGAGAGGACCCAAATAAACAAAATCAGAAACGATAGAGGCGAAATAACAACAGACCCCACAGAAATACAAATGATTGTTAAAAAATACTATGGACAGCTCTACTCCAACAAACTAGACAACCTGGAGGAAATGGACAAATTCCTAGAAAAATACAACATTCCAAAACTCAATCAGGAAGAATCTAAAAATCTCAACAGGCCAATAACTATGGAAGAAATTGAAGCAGTCATCAAAAAGCTTCCAGCAAACAAAAGCCCAGGACCAGACGGCTTCACAAGGGAGTTTTACCAAACATTCAAGGAAGAACTAAAACCTATCCTCCTCAGACTACTACAAAAAATTCAAGAGGAAGGAACACTTCCAAGCTCATTCTATGAAGCCAGCATCACCCTAATACCAAAACCAGGTAAAGACAACACAATGAAAGAGAATTACAGGCCAATATCCCTCATGAACATAGATGCCAAAATCCTCAACAAAATCTTAGCAAATCGGATCCAGCAGTACATCAGAAAGATCATACACCATGACCAAGTAGGATTTATCCCAGGGATGCAAGGATGGTACAATATCCGCAAATCAATAAACGTGATACATCACATAAACAAATTGAAAGAAAAAAACCACATGGTCATATCAATTGATGCAGAAAAAGCATTTGACAAAATTCAACACCCATTTTTGATAAAAGCTCTCAGCAAGGTGGGAGTAGAAGGATCATACCTCAACATAATAAAAGCCATATATGACAGGCCCACAGCCAACATCATACTCAATGGACAAAAACTAACACCATTTCCCCTAAGAACAGGAACAAGACAGGGATGTCCCCTCTCACCACTCCTGTTCAACATAGTACTGGAAGTGTTAGCCATTGCAATTCGGCAAGAAGAAGAAATAAAAGGCATCCAAATTGGAAAAGAGGAAGTAAAACCGTCCTTATTTGCAGATGACATGATATTATACATACAAAACCCTAGAGACTCCATCAAAAAGCTACTAGACTTAATACATGAATTTGGCAATGTAGCAGGATACAAAATTAACCCCAAGAAATCTGAGGCATTTCTATACACCAATAGTGAACTTTCAGAAAGAGAGATTATAAAAACAATCCCGTTTACCATCGCACCAAAAAAATTAAGCTACCTAGGAATAAACTTAACTAAAGAGGTAAAAGACCTCTACTCAGAAAACTACAGGACGTTGAAAAAAGATATAGAGGAAGACATAAACAGATGGAAGAACATGCCGTGTTCATGGATTGGTAGAATCAACATCATTAAAATGTCCATACTACCCAAAGCAATCTATAAATTCAACGCACTTCCCATTAAAATACCAACGGCATACTTCAGAGATCTAGAACGAACTCTCCAAAAATTCATCTGGAATAAAAAAAGACCCCAAATAGCTGCAGCAATCCTGAAAAAGACCAAAGTAGGTGGGATCTCAATACCAGATATCAAGTTGTATTACAAAGCCACTGTTCTCAAAACTGCCTGGTACTGGCACAAGAATAGGCATATAGATCAATGGAATAGAATAGAGAGCCCAGAAATCGGCCAGAACCAATATGCTCAATTAATCTTTGACAAAGGAGGCAAGAACATACAATGGAGCCAAGATAGTCTCTTCAATAAATGGTGTTGGGAAAATTGGACAGATATATGCAAGAAAATGAAACTAGACCACCAACTTATACCATACACAAAAATAAACTCAAAATGGATAAAGGACTTAAATGTACGACAGGAAACCATAAAAATTCTAGAAGAATACAAAGGCAATAAAATCTCAGACATATGCCGAAGCAATTTCTTCACTGATACAGCTCCTAGGGCACTTGAAACGAAAGAGAAAATGAACAAATGGGACTACATCAAAATAAAAAGCTTCTGCACAGCAAAAGAAACCATCAACAAAACAACGAGAAAACCCACTGTGTGGGAAAACATATTTGCCAATGTCATATCTGATAAGGGCCTAATCTCCAAAATTTATAGGGAACTCATACAACTTAACAAAAGGAAGATAAACAATCCAATCAAAAAATGGGCAAAGGACCTAAATAGACACCTTTCAAAAGAAGACATTCAGAAAGCCAAGAGACATATGAAAACATGCTCAAAGTCACTAATCATCCGAGAGATGCAAATCAAAACAACAATGAGGTACCATCTCACACCTGTCAGACTGGCTATCATCAACAAATCAACAAACGACAAGTGCTGGAGAGGATGTGGAGAAAAAGGAACACTTGTGCACTGCTGGTGGGAATGCAGACTGGTGCAGCCACTATGGAAGACAGTATGGAGTTTCCTTAAAAAACTGAAAATGGAACTCCCATTTGACCCTGTGATCCCACTTCTAGGAATATATCCCAAGAAACCAGAAACACCAATCAGAAAGGATATATGCACCCCTATGTTCATAGCAGCACAATTCACCATAGCTAAGATCTGGAAACAGCCTAAGTGCCCATCAGTAGATGAATGGATTAGAAAACAGTGGTACATCTACACGATGGAATACTATGCTGCTCTAAAAAGGAAGGAACTCTTACCATTTGCAACGTCATGGATGGAACTGGAGAGCATTATGCTAAGTGAAATAAGCCAGTCAATGAAGGAAAAATACCACATGATCTCACTCATTCATGGATAATAGAGACCATTATAAACTTTTGAACAATAATAGATACAGAGGCAGAGCTGCCTCAAACAGATTGTCTAACTGCAGCGGGAAGGCCGGGGAGGGTTGGGGGGCAGGAGGGAGGGGGGTAAGAGATCAACTAAAGGACTTGTATGCATGCATATAAGCATAACCAATGGACATAAGACACTGGGGGATAGGGGAGGCTAGGGGACTGTCTAGGGCGGGGGGATAAAATGGACACATATGTAAAACCCTTTGTAATACTTTAAGCAATAAATTAAAAAAAAAGAAAATAAAAAAAGAAAAAAAAAAGAAGAGGAAGAAGAAGAAAAAGGTAAAGATACAAATTATGAACAACAAACATGCATCTATCAACAAGTGAATCTAAGAATCAAGTGAATAAATAATCTGGTGATCATAATAGAATCAGGGACATAGAAAGGGAATGGACTGACTATTCTTAGGGGGGAAAGGGGTGTGGGAGATGCGGGAAGAGACTGGACAAAAATCGTGCACCTATGGATGAGGACAGTGGGTGGGGAGTGAGGGCGGATGGTGGGGCGGGAACTGGGAGGAGGGGAGTTATGGGGGGGGGGAAGAGGAACAAATGTAATAATCTGAACAGTAAAGATTTAATTTAAAAAAAAAGGGAAAAAAAAGAAAAAGGAAAAAAAAAAAAGAATAGCCCATGGTTCATGCAAATAAAGACAAAAATCTGGCACAGACAGTCACCCAGGAATTTAGCTATAGGAAAGGGGCAGAAGTGGAAGCCATGGATATGAATATAGTCACCCTCCCAGGAAGAGAAACAGCAGGTGGGATCGGTTAAGCTGTCTGTAAGACCCTTGACTCCCAGAAACTTCTGTCACTTCCAGAGGCAAATGTTGTAAGAGAAGTTTGTGGAGTCTATTGCTCAGGGCTCTCCACAGTGCTCAGCACTGGCAGCCATAGCACATTTGAAAAGACAGTGAGGAATATTTGTAGAACCCATGGTCTGGCTGTGAGAGATAGAGTGCTATGCCTGGAGAATAAAGTAAGAGAGAACATCACCTCAGGACACAAGGAGAGATGTGAAGTTCTTACCTACAGATGCTACAAGTGCAAACACTTCCAGCATCACATCGCAGTACAGAAGTCTCTGAACCTCATCAAGAAGCCCCCACTCCTCCTGAGAGAAGGCAATGCCCACATCCTCAAAGTTCATATCCTGTCATAGTGGGGACAGTACAGACCATGATCAGATTCTCTCCTAATATTCCACGTCTGTCATACCCATCTGCCCAATCTACTCCCACATCAGAGAAGATACCAGGCCTTGGTCCCATTAAAGTCAATCTTTCCTTATAGTCCTACTAATGCTGTGTATTCCCACAGCAATAAAGAGAGTTGAGCAGATAGAAGATACCTGTGCTCTGGGCCTCAATGTGAGTCACACTACCCCGTCTCAATAACAGTGAGTGTCAGGTGTTAGGGTAATGAGAGCTGTTGCATATAAAGGGAGTGTGAGTGATTCAGCACCGGTCTTTTTGGGTAATATGCTCTCAATTATTCCTCCAGGACACCAAAAAACATGGCATCACACTTCACCTTTTTGACTCCAAACCCAGATTGCTGAGGCCATTACATTTCACTACATCATTTTTCTTCACATAATTCTTTGAACCACACTCCTCTCATGCAGCTTCATTCCAAGAGGCACAACTTCACTTGCTCCCCTACTGGGGATGTTCCTTCCTCTTTTCACACAAATATGCTGTGAAAACGACAGGTTGCTTCCTAATTAGCTTGTATTGTTCTAAAATGTTAAAATGTATTGTTCTGCAAATGTTCAACTGTGAAGTGTCCTCATATAGGTTAAAATTTGGACTGAGGCCCTCAATGCTTCCAGATTTTTCTGCTAGAAGTGACAGCTTCACTCCCAGGGCCTCAGTCCAAATGTTTACTACATGTGCCAGTCCCTGGATTCAATGCTTCAGATGCATTATTATTTCAAGGTAAATAATAAAAGAGATGATTCTCCTATGAACATATCACTTCCTACTACGAATTTCTCCATCTGAGTTCAGGTGCTTTCATACATTCAGGTGCTAATCCAAACCAATTAGCTTGTTTTTCAAAATTCTAATTGATTATCTCTGTAATGTATTTCCCTCTTACTGTCTCCCTTCCTCATGCCAGTGGAGATTTTCTTTTTTTAAAAAAATATATTTTATTGATTTTTTTTTTACAGAGAGGAAGGGAGAGAGACAGAGAGTTAGAAACATCGATGAGAGAGAAACATCGATCAGCTGCCTCCTGCACACCCCCTACTGGGGATGTGCCCACAACCAAGGTACATGCCCTTGACCGGAATCGAACCTGGGACTCTCGATTTCGCAGGCCGACGCTCTATCCACTGAGCCAAACCGGTTAGGGCGCCAGTGGAGGTTTTCAAGCACAGGTGACACTGATGTCTGCTATCTCATTCCTATTGATCACTGGGGAAGCCCTCAACAAGAAACAGCAGTTAAACATATATAGTTTACTATATATCATATAAGCTCTTCATCTGGCATGTAGAACCAAACTGTTATTTTCAGGAATTACCCCCAAATTCCCCATATCATACCATCCAGTCCCCACCAGAAATGGACTCACCCTTCTTTCATTCTTATGTTAATGTCAGGTCCCTGCAGCCATGAATTCACATACCCTCTCCAAGTGCACACCACTTTTTTCTACCACACCTGTCTCACACCTGCACTCCCACATCCTAAGCACCCATAGTCATCTCCTTGGCCTCATACTCATTATTGAGCATGTGTGACCCAGAGAATGCCTAGAAAATTCAAACTGGGTGATGTACTACCCATAATATCAAAGTCCACAACCATAAAGGAAGCGTTGTGTCCTACTATGAAGGCCTCTGTCCCTGATTGTTTTTTTCCTTCAACCTCACCTAATGTGAACCATATGAGATCTCAGATATTCAGAGCCCACCTTCACTGTTACTGCACTTGATGTCTCTTCACCAGTCTCAGCCTTTCATCACTTATGGCCCTCTACCCATGCCCAGTGAGTCTCTGAGATGATCACTCATGCCCCTACGCCAGTGGTCGGCAAACTCATTAGTCAACAGAGCCAAATATCAACAGTACAACAATTGAAATTTCTTTTGAGAGCCATTTTTTTTTTAAACTTAAACTATATAGGTAGGTACATTGTTATTAACTTAATTAGGGTACTCCTAGGCTTAGGAAGAGCCACACTTCAAGGGGCCAAAAAGCCGCATGTGACTCACGAGCTGCAGTTTGCCGACCACAGCCCTAAGCAATTCCACCAAACTGACTGCAACAACTCAGCCACAGCAATGGTAATCAGAAATCCCAGTGTTTAGAAAAAAAATAAACACCAACCACAGTCTCGTCTTATTTACAATATTCTTTGGCATCCAATTCAAAACAAACAAACAAACAAAGGTGATCTACACCTCCTATCTGGTCTATACATTTTCCACTACATTTAAGGAAGTCTTCCTATTGAACGGCTCATCAGAATTCTAGGTGATCTTGAATGGCTCTCTGAAATACCCTAACAGGCCAAAAAGTAAAAGTTTTTGTATCTCCTTTGAACATAACACTTCCTACTACGAATTTCTCTGTCTGAGTTGATGGTGCTTTCATACATTGAGGTGCTAAATCCAAGCCTTAATGTCAACTCTGACTCTTACCTCTCTGTCTCTCTCAACCTCACATTAGAAAATCCAGGTGGCCACACCTAAATCACCGATCCGGAATGCAACTGCTCCTTCCATCTCCACAGCCACCATCATGAGCCAGTTACCATCACACTCACCCAGTCTATCACAGCTGCTTCCTTCCTAGCCTTTCTACCTCCTACCTCATAGGCATATTGATCATCATGCTGCAGCCACCAGGAGTCTAATGAGACCAGGTTCAGATCACCTGCCACTACTGCTGCAAATCTGCCATGCTCCCATCACCTGCAGAACAGACTCCAAAGTTGTCAGAAAGCTCCTCTAGACCTGATTTTCTCCCATTTTTAATAATTTCCTCTTTTTATTGATTTTATTTTTTAAAGACTTTTTTATATTTTATTGTGTGTGTGCTTTTTTTTTTTGTTTTGTTTTGTTTTAACTGAGAAGAAGGGAGAGGGATAGAGAGTTAGAAACTTTGATGAGAGAAACATTGATCAGCTGCCTCCTTCACAGTCCCTACTGGGGATGTGCCTGCAACCAAGGTACATGCCCTTGACTGGAATCAAACCTGGGACTCTTCAGTACACAGGCCGATGCTCTATCCACTGAGCCAACCTGGTTAGGGCTACTTCCCTCTTTTTAAAAAGAGGATGCCTGCAAGTCCCTGAACTGGTTTGGTCTTTTTTTTTTTTATTTATTATTTTATAAAATATATTTTATTGGTTTCTTACAGAGGGGAAGGGAGAGGGATAGAGAATCAGAAACATCAATGAGAGAGAAACACCGATCAGCTGCCTCCCGCACACCCCCCACCGGAGATGTGCCCGCAACCAAGATACATGCCCTTATCCGGAATCAAACCCGGGACCCTTCAGTCCACAGGCCGACGCTCTATCCACTGAGCCAAACTAGTTAGGGCTATTTAAAAAAAAAAAAAAAAAGGTGCTAGGAATCTTAGCATAATTGCATTAAATCTAGAGAAACATTTTGGAAGAACTGATGTCTTAGCAATATTGAGTCTTCTGATCTATGAGCACAATATATATCATCATTTATTTAGGTATCATTAATTTACCTCATCAATACTTATCAATAATCATCAATACTTGCACATATGTTTAGATTTGTCCTTAAATATTTTGTTTCTTTTTTTAGTTTTCTATTTTTCTTTTCTTTTTAAATCTATTTTTATTGATTTCAGAGAGGAAGGGAGGGAGAAAGAGAAACATCAATTAAGAGAAAGAATTATCTATAGGCTGCTTCCTGCATGCCCCACACCAGGAATGGACCCTGCAACCCAGTCATGTGTCCTGTTAATGCTCAACCACTGAGTCATGCTGGCCAGGAAATATTTTGTTTCTTAATACAATAATAAAGGATGTTGTTGTTCTTTTTAATTCAATTTCTGATTGTTTTATTGCTAGTATATAAAAATAACATTGATCTTTTAAAGATTGATTTTGAATTCTGTGTTCATACTAAACTCACATATTAGTTTTATTAGTTTAAGCATTGTTTGGGGGCTCAGTTGGTGTGACTCAGTGGTTGAGCATCACCCCTTAAACCAAGAGGTCACTGGTTGGATTCCCAGGCAGGGCACATGCCTGGGTTGCAGGCTCAATCTCTAGTAGGAGGCATGCAGGAAGCAGCCGATGGATGATGTTTCTCTCTCATAGAAGTTTCTATCTCTCTTTTCCTTTCCCTTCCTCTCTTTCTAAAAATCAGTAAAAAGCATATTTTTTTAAAAAATTGTTTATGGAACGGTCTGTATTCAGAACATGCCATCTGTGAATAGAACCTGTGTTATCTGTCTATTTCTTCTAGATATCATATAAAAAGATTTTACTTTTTATCCATTCTTTTGTCCTTTGGTTTGATTTTATTGATTTTTTTTTTTTTTTTTTTTTTTTTTTTTTTTTTTTTTTTTTTTTTTTTTTTTTTTTAGAAAGAGAGGAAGTAAAGGGAGGGAGAGAGAAATATCAGTGTGAGAGAGAAATACTGATTGGCTGCCTCCCACATGCACCTTGAGCCCACAATCTGGGCATGTACTCTGACCTGGAATCGAACTGGTGAACTTTCAGTGCACAGGACTATGCTCAATAAACAGGGCTCTGCCTTTAAATAGACGGTTTAAACCATTCACATCTAATGTAATTAATATGCTTGGGCTTAAATCCACCATTTTACTATTTGTTTTCTATTTTTCTCATCTGTTCTTTACTTTTTGTTTTCTCGTTCTCTGTTTTCTCTGTATTAACACTCTGTTAGTTGTGTATTTAGGTTTATTACTATCTTATTAGCTTACTTATTTTAACCTTTTCCTGTGTGTGGTTCCTCTAGATTTTAAAATATTAATCTCCTAGGGCTTGGATTGAATACCATGAGTGCTCAACAAAGATTCGTGACTGGCTGGTTAAAACTCAAACATGCCCTCGCTCTGTGTCATCTCTGGGAACTGTTCAACTAATAGGTCCCTCATCTTACTTGTGTGGCATTGTGGAGCTTCACATTTCAGTATTTAGTCATAGTCAAGAGGACTCCTATGCACATTACTGGGACTGTGTTACTGCTAGCTCCTGCTTCCTGGGACCTGCCATACAACATCTAGCTTCCTTAGCCTTCGGGTGCTGTGATTTCAATCTGCTTAACTCAGTGAGACTGATGTGTTCTGCTTGTTTTTCCCTCCCTGCACCTCAGAAAAGCCAGATTTTCCCACTGTTGGGCTCCCCTGGCAAAGCATGTTATAAAGAACAGATGGCAGACCACTGGCACTCAAGTTCCTGATGTTTGTTGTTCCAAAATTCACAGAGTAATCCTTGGACTTCCAGGCTGGATTTGGGGAGGAGTTTACCCCTGGAATGAGGGGCTTCAACATCCAGCTATCGTTATTCCTATGTCCTTGTTTCAAAGAAGGTTGCTGCCCTTTTAGTATCAGGAAAAGATTTAAGGATACAGCCCTGCAAAAGCAAATTTCAGAATTCTTAATCTTGATCCTACTTGCATGACCTAAAAAAAATAAAAAATAGGAACAGCCGAAACCGGTTTGGTTTAGCGGATAGAGTGTGGTTTGGTCTTTAATCCATGTGTTCACACATTCTGGGAGGACCTCCCACATCTCATTCCTCTAATTGCCAAAATCAGGAAGCACTTCATACAACCCCAGACCTGGACTTAGGATCTGGGCTTAGTGTTTGTTCAAGCTTCCCAGGCCCAAAGGCTGGGAGAGTGGCAGGAGAGTCCCAGGACTCCACTATCTCAGAGGCCACAAGAGTGTGAGGCTCTTAAATAAGCCCCACAAACCAGTACCCCTCAGCGATGTTGCATTTGCAGGAATTTGTGGAAAGTAAAGGTCTGTTGAGAGCCTTGCAAACACTGCCAGGATCCATGGGCTCTGGTCACTCAGTACCTTTCCCTAGGCCCAGGGTCAGATGACCACATTACTTCGGGGCCTCAGTCCTAAAGGCACACTCTTGCCTAGTTTGCTATCTTTCAAAGGACTTCTCATTCCTGTCCCCTACTGGTATCCTCTCCCTTCTAGTTTCTTGTTACCCTGAGCAGTTGGGAAGTTTAGAACCCTACTTCACATAACGTCCCTCTTTTATTCTCCACCATCAATGGCGCTAGGTTCCTGAGAATGAAACTAAAACTCCTCACGCAATATTTCGCCTCGTCTTCTCTGTTGCCTTTAGATACAAAACAAGCCCAGGATTCCTGAATTCTTTCAGCTCAGCCACTCCAACCAAAACCTTACAGGGTGGCACTGCAGCCTGTCACTCTCTTTCATCTATCACACCACATCACTGTTCTGGATGCTGTGACCGGGGCTTCAGGACCTGAAGGGCACCCAAGGTTGGATGATAAATAGAATGAGGCTGAATAGAACTCTGCAAGCAAAACAGAGTCAGGGAGGCACATAGGCCTCAATACTGGCTATTGCTGCTCAACAAGCTCAAACCACTGCGCAAGGGGAACACTGCCTCTGAAGTCATCCTCTTGTGATCCAGCGCTGGGGCCTATGAATATGTTAACAGAACAAAGGGCTCAAAATGCCCACCTTGAGAAAGAAGCTGAAAGTACTACACAAGCCAATCACCACGAGTAAATACACCTGTCCTGGGCTTTCATTGGCTAAATACGGCCATCATTGGGCGCATTGCCCTTTGGGTAACTTCATTTTTCTAGCCCAACAGGTGGCATCAGGATCCCAGTCACTGACTGATGATTGCAAACATTGGTATTGGGGCACCCCAGTGCCACTGGGAAATGGCAACTTTAGGATTTGATGGCTGTTCCCAGGTTTCTGGGAAGTGTTTTATTTGGAGATATTATTTCAGATTCCATGAGCATTTCAGAATACTCCCTGAGGTGGAAATCATTATTTCAATTATTTCTGAAGACCACAAATCTGGATGGATATATTGTTTTTAAGTTTTTTATTTGATTTTTAGTATAGAGAGTAGAAGGGAAAGGAAAAGAAAGAAACACTGATTTGTGCCTCCTGCATGGCCCCTTCCACCTACTGGGAATCCACCAAGAAAGCCTGGCTTGTGCCTCACCAAAAATCAAACTGATAACCTTTCTGTTCCTGGGACTACACTCAACCAAAGACCCACTCCAGTCGTCACATGTTTTTAGTTTTATCAAAAAAATCACATTAAGATAAATATACATAATCCTATCATATTTGTTTAAAAACAAAGTTTGAAAACATACATAGGTGAACAAGTTGACATTTCCTACGTTGTCTACATGTTTATACTCAGTACACATTGTGAAGCCATGGAGTTAAGAGTTACTGAATGTTTACTACATGTGCCAGGCCCTGGATTCAATGCTTCAAATGCATTATTATTTCAAGGTAAATCGAATGCTTGTAGAGTTTAATAAAAGGCAGGGCTGGAAGTCAAACCCATGTGTCTCCAACAACAGAGCTCTGGCTTCTAATGTTAGGCTCTGCTGCCTCCTAGAGAGTAGAGTTGGTAATGCATAACCATTAGGATGGGCTAGATATTGTTGTGGATAACAAACAGCCCCAAAGCTTTGGTAGATTATATTAAAGAAGGTATCTTTCTTGGTCATGCTACATGTTCTCCCTGGTTCTCCTGGGACTGGTATAAAAGGAATCCACCATGTAGATACCTCCTACATATATCAGAGATGGACAGCGACAGTGGCACTCTGCTTCCAGATTTTTCTGTTAGAAGTGACAGGTTCACTCTCAACATATTTCACTGATCAAAGCACAGCACAGGGCTGCAGCCAAATTCAGGGGGCCAGGATGAAAACTTGACCTACTTGATGGGCCTCGTTTATGTGATCACATGTGACCACCTCTTTTGGAGCTGTGCAGAGGCAAAGGAGATGGGTGGGTTTTGGTAGGAAATGACCGTGGAAATCAGCCAGTGTGGTTCTCTCTGTCTTCATTCACATGGATTTTGTTCCAGAGCTGCCCAAAACCATTACTGTCAAGATTCAAAGGAGTGAAATTCAATAAAAGGAGACGGGTTAGATATCATTGGCAGCAAACGCAGAACACATTTCTGAGTGTGACCTTTGCTAAACCCCTGGCTGCCTCGCTTCCCCCATTATTGTTGAAGACCCACATTTTAAGAATGTTGACTGGGAAGGATACAGGAATAGAAGCATTCCAGTATCCATGCTCTATTTTTTTTTAAGAAATCTTTATTGTTCAGATTATTACAGTTGTTCCTCTTTTTTCCCCCATAGCTCCCCTCCACCCGTTTCCCACCCCCCTCTGCCCTCATCCCCGCCCCCCCCTACTGTCCTCATCCATAGGTGCACGATTTTTGTTCAGTATCTTCCTGCATCCCCCACAACCTTTCCCCCCCAAGAAGTCAGTCCACTCCCTTTCTATGCCCCTGATTCTATTATACTCACCAGTTCATTCTGTTCATCAGATTATTCACTTGATTTCTAGATTTACTTGTTGATAAATCTGTATCTGTTGTTCATAGTTTGTATCTTTACCTTTTTCTTCTTCTTCCTCTTCTTAAAGGATACCTTTCAGCATTTCATATAATACTGGTTTAGTGCTGATGAAATCCTTTTAGTTTTTTCTTATCTGTGAAGCTCTTTATCTGACCTTCAATTCTGAATGATAGCTTTGCTGGATAAAGTAGTCTTGGTTGTAGGTTCTTGGCATTCATCACTTTGAATATTTCTTGCCACTCCCTTCTGGCCTGCAAAGTTTCTGTTGAGAAATCAGCTGACAATCATATGGGTACTCCCTTGTAGGTAACTGATTGTTTTTCTCTTGCTGCTTTTAAGATTCTCTCTTTGTCTTTTGCTCTTGGCATTTTAATTATGATGTGTCTTGCTGTGGTCCTCTTTGGATTCCTTTTGTTTGGGGTTCTCTGCGCTTCCAGGACTTGTAAGTCTATTTCTTTCACCAGGTAGGGGAAGTTTTCTGTCATTATTTCTTCAAATAGGTTTTCAATATCTTGCTCTCTCTCATCTTCCAGCACCCCTATAATTCAGATGTTGGTACGCTTGAAGCTGTCCCAGAGGCTCCTTACACTATCCTCGCATTTTTGGATTCTTTTTTCATTTTGCTTTTCCGGTTGGGTGTTTTTTGCTTCTTTATATTTCAAATCGTTGACTTGATTCTTGCAATCCTCTAGCCTGCTGTTGGGAGTCTGTATAATATTCTTTTTTTATTATTATTAAATCTTTATTGTTCAGATTATAACATTTGTTCCTCATTTCCCCCCCCATATCTCCCCTTCTCCCAGTTCCCACCCCATCCTCCGCCCTCACTCCCCACCCTCTGAAAAAAATAATATATATATATTTTTTAGAATACATTTTATTGATTTTTTATAGAGAGGAAGGGAGAGAGATAGAGAGTTAGAAACATCGATGAGAGAGAAACATCGATGAGCTGCCTCCTGCACACCCCCCACTGGGGATGTGCCCGCAACCCAGGTACATGCCCTTGACCGGAATCGAACCCGGGATCCTTCAGTCCGCAGGCCGACGCTCTATCCACTGAGCCAGACCGGTGTCGGCAATAAAATATATTTTTTAAAAAAGAATTCAGGTGCTGCCTTCTCAGGAGGCTCAGTGGGTTGGAACATCCTCCCATAAAGCACATCCCCACACATTGATGGCCTGTTTGATTCATGGTAAGGGCACTTAACTAGGTTGCAAATTGGATCGTTGTTCAGAGAGAAAAGAGGAGGCAACTGATCCATGTTTCCTGTTTTATTGGTTTCATCTTCTTCCCCCCTCTATAACTCTTCCCCCCCCCCCTCTAAAATTAATAAACAATTCCTATGGACAGAATTTTAAAAATGAAGGTGTTGATGTTTCAAGTACATATGGTTAAATCTAAAGCTATCTCTCTAGAACAGTTAGAGAATCATCTGAACACAATAGAAGTCGGTCTCCTTTCATGAAAAGAATAACACATTTCAGAAAAACTTCACACTATTAGTGTCATAGTCATGATCCTCACCCTGTTTTTATTTAAGCCCTAAAATCTAATGGTTTCTGATTAAAGCCATCTCTTTTTGCTTTTAACTTAGGTTAATCTTTGGGTGATAAAAATTAACTTTCCCACAGGAGAAGCAGTTTCTGAGGGATTCCATCAAAACCTAGACACGAGTGAGGAGGGCCCATGGTGAACTAGAAACTGTGTTTCCCCAGTGAAACCCATGTTTAATGTCTATAAATACAGCCAGTGTCACAGGAGGCAAGAGTCAGCCAACTTGCAGTCTTTCTTAAAGCAGAGAATCCTCTGGAGATCACATGGAGGCTGGTGTTGGGATTCCAAAGATGATTTCCTGAGACAGATGTATTGTGTCTAAAGCTCCTCATGATCTCAAATAGTATTCCATCTATTGCATATCCTGCCCCTTTCTTTACTGTGTCCTCCCGCTAGTTTTTTGAAATTCTCTGGAAGCTTACCATCATCACTGCCTCCTTATACATTTCTGTGTTTGTCATTTTCCTCTGGAGAACTATCCTTGTGGTGAGTTTACTAAAGCTCCTTCCAGATGCACTTTTACTCATAAATAAGCAAACATGCTTAAGCCCCTGGATTCTTTATGTGCATTCAGGACTGTAAATTCCCCTCTGGCAATGATTTTTCTGAAGGGGCTGCCCATCAGCCTTTCTAAAGGCAGCCTGGGGCTGGAGGCAAACTGTGAGGCCCCCTAAGAAGGCCAAGTACTGCCACAGCGCCCACATGCCAGCCAGGACTCCCCTTTCTTTTTTTTTTTTTCTTTAATATATTTTTTATTGATTAAGATATTACATATGTGTCCTTGTCCCCACGTTACCCTCTACCCCCCACCCCACCCACCCCCGCTCATGCCCTCACCCCCACGTTGTCCATGTCCATTGGTTAGGCCTATATGCTTACATATAAGTCCTTTGGTTGATCTTTCCCCCTTACCCCCACCCTCCCCTACCTTCCCTCCAAGTCCCGACAGTCCAATCAATGCCTCTCCGTCTCTGGATCAGTCCTTGTTCATCAGCTTATGTTGTTCATTATATTCCACAAATGAGTGAGATCCTGTGGTATTTATCCGCTCTCAAGTTCCATCCATGCTGTGGCAAATGGTAAGAGTTCCTTTTTCTTCTTCCTCTTCTTAAAGAATACCTTTCAGCATTTCATATAATGCTGGTTTGGTGGTGATGAACTCCTTTAGCTTTTTCTTATCCGTGAAGCTCTTTATCTGACCTTCTATTCTGAATGATAGCTTTGCTGGATAAAGTAATCTTGGTTGCAGGTTCTTGCTATTCATCACTTTGAATATTTCTTGCCAGTCTCTTCTGGCCTGCATGGTTTCTGTTGAGAAATCAGCTGACAGTCGTATGGGTACTCCCTTGTAGGTAACTGACTGTCTTTCTCTTGCTGCTTTTAAGATTCTCTCTTTATCTTTTGCTCTTGGCATTTTAATTATGATGTGTCTTGGTGTGGTCCTCCTTGGATTCCTTTTGTTTGGGGTTCTCTGCGCTTCCTGGACTTGTAAGTCCATTTCTTTCACCAGGTAGGGGAAGTTTTCTGTCATTATTTCTTCAAAAAGGTTTTCAATATCTTGCCCTCTCTCTCCTTCTGGTACCCCTATAATTCTGATGTTGGTACGCTTGAAGTTGTCCCAGAGGTTCCTTACACTATCTTCATATTTTTGGAATCTCTTTTCTTTTTTCTTTTTCGGTTGGGTATTTTTTGTTTCTTTGTATTTCAAATCTTTGACTTGATTCTTGGGATCCTCTTTTCTGCTGCTGGATCTCTGTAAATTCTTCTTTATTTCAGTCAGTGTATGCTTAATTTCTAGTTGGTCCTTTTTCATGTCCTCCATGGTCTCCCTATACTTATTGAGGGATTCATTAAATTTATCGGCGGTTTCCATAAAATTCTTGAAAAACCTTATAACCGTGGCCTTAAACTCTATATCCAATCGTTTGCTTTCCTCCATTTCTGCCATTTGTGACCTGTTTCTTTGTCTCCGCATTTTGGCAGCTTCCCTGTGTTGATAGAGTGGCCCTGTGCGCCAGGTGTCCTGTAGGGCCCAGTAGCTCAGCCTCCCCAGTTACCTGGGGTGGACACTCTTGGTGCACTCTTGGTGCCTTGGTTGTTGTAGAATCACTGGGAGGAATTGACCTCCAGGCCAATTGGCTGTGAGAATCAGCTGTGTCTAAAGTGGGAGAACTTCTGTGCTGAAGACACCCTTCTGGAGCAAGACTTGCTTCAGTGGGGCTTTGGTGCTCACTGAGTCTGCTCCCTGAGTGCGTCCCTTATGGATCTGAGGAGTTGCAGTCTGGATGGACCCCCTCTGACCACTGGGTACAGTGGCTCCTGGATCTAAGGAGGTGCTAATTCAGCCTCTGCCTGAGGCCACACAGCAGGAGCCACGAAGAGGCTCAGCTGTGAAGCAATGCAAGCCGCTGCGGGGCCTTGGGCCTTCTCTTGGAAGTTCCAGGTCTGCCTGGTTCGGCTGCAGTTAGGTACATTCACATGCAAAAGCCTCTGCCGCAGCCTGGGTGGGGCGGGGTCTCAGGGAGTCAGAGGGCGGAGAAAGCGGCCATGGCCGATTCTCCGCCCGGAGTCGTGCGTCTCAGTGTTCCGGTAACGGCTGCAAGCACCTCTGAGGGAAAGCCGCCCTCAAGTTCGCTCGCTGCCGGACAGACCAGCCTCTCCCCGTATGAGACCTGGGTCCCCAGAGACTTCCCGGAACCGGAGTTCAGAGCCGTCGGGAGTTTGTGATTCAAAAAGACAGCCGCGTCCTCAGGCGCCACCCCCTTTCCTCGCGCGCGCACGCCGCCGTACCTCTGCACTTCACCTCCGCAGGGCCTCTGGCTCTCAGCGTGCTTTTCTTTCCTTCTAGTTGTGGAATTTACACTCAGCCAGCCTTCCTGTTGTTCTGGATGATGTTTGCTCAGTCCTTTGCGGTAATTTTCAATTGTTGTGTGAGGCGATAATTTCCCGGTGTTTACCTATGCCGCCATCTTAGTTGCTCTCCAGGACTCCCCTTTCTAATTTCAGTTGTCCACACAGCTATAGAGACCTCCCTTCACCTCCCAAATGGGGGGAGGGGGCATGCTCCCAGTAGGCCTTTCAACTGGACTCTGCCACCCCTTCCCAGATTGTCTCAGGGAGGCTCCCACTGACCACCACTGGCTTCACCTTATGGCGTCACTGTGGGCTCTGATA